TAAGTGAAACAGCAATTAACTTGTACTTCCTTCAGTTTAGTATACTGCATTCACCGATCACTGTTGGGGGCACACTGTAATTTTCTAGAGCTCTACTTGAGATTTTCTCAGGGGCTATTTCTTGATTTTTGGGAGTTGCTTTTTTCATTCTCATGCAGTCACAACGGACCTATATCTTTTGTACTTCTGTTGAGATAAGGGCAATTTGCACTCACAAGCATAATTGCAAGAAGTTATTAATATTCTCAAAAATAATCACCTCTCCCTTAAAGTACATGATCTTTGCAACTTACATTTCTATTTATCTTTGTGTCAAGTTTAGCAACATAACTTTGGTCCCATCATCCGGGTAATTTATGTAAATTGTGAAAGGTTGAAACTCTAGCACTGATCTCTGTGGGGCACCTCTATTACATCTTGCCCCCAGAACAAGACCTATTTATTCCTAGCCTGTTTTCTGTGAGCTAGCCAATCCTTTAACCATGACAAAGCCTATTTTCTGCAATACTCTTTGATGTGGCTTTTTATCAAATGCTTTTGGAAAGTAACTCCACTGGTTTCCATTATCATTTTTCATCTCTGCACTTCTAAAACCTAGTTTCCTGATCTTAGGCCATCCTTCTCTATTGCCTTTGTACCATCATTAATTAAGAGTAATCCCTCTACCTTTTCTAATTTATTTCCACAGATGCTGCCTGTCCTACTAAGTTTTTGCAGCATTTTCATTCTTATCATTGTTTCTAGTTTACTCAGTTATTCCACAGTTAGCTGCACTAGTCTTCTGCCAAAGCTTGCAAATCTTCACTGACATGAATGTGACGCAGCTTACCTTGTGGAAATTTATTTCTATTAAGCTCAGTCTTAAGATATATAACTTTTTTCTTCTGAAGCAAAAACTTCCAGTTGGTGACTATTTAGTCGGTTAACTATTTGAAATTGTATTTTCGCGTCGAGAATTTTCAAAAACCCTCTGTTCTACACCATGGCCTAGAAATGGGACAAGAATTGGAACAAGAAACACCTGGGGCACACCCATTGTCAGGCCTCATGCTTCATTCACTTGAGACCTCGTGAGCTTCAGTTGTTTTCTGGAGACCATCCAGGCAGCCCACTTGGGAAGAGGATTTCAATTTTAAGCCACTGTTTTTCAGTTAGATTCTGGAAGATGGGAGGAAGCAAACTGGAGATAAAGTAATAATTGGGAAAGAGGGAAGAAGTAGCTGGGAGAGAATGTCACAAACAGGAGACAGCAAGTGGGAGGAAAGGAGAAGTGAGATCAGGTGACAGAAGGATGATTTAGAATGTTCATAAGTGGGTCAGTGTCAGACTTTGTCACTGCAAAGGATCTGCTAGGAACAATGCTGCTGTTCATAGCTCTGTATTTGGAAATGTATTTGTAAAAATGATGCTTCTTTTGGTGATCTTCTCCAGTGTTTTTTTTTGAACAATGGTTTGGTGCATATAGATTGTGTTGACACGATTCCAACTGGCAATTTAAAAATCAGAATAAGCATTTCTTGTTTATGGGAATCAAATCATTTTCCATTGCTTTGAGTCAATTAAGTAATAACAAGGGACTAAATTTCCAACACTTGTATCATTTAGAAGGTGGCTTGTTGTGGCTCAGAGTTAGTTTCCCTACCCCTGAACTGAGGGGCCCAGGTTCAAGTCCCAACTGCTCCAAAGGTGTGTAATAAAGTCTCTGAACAGGTTGATTAGAAAAATTGTGGGTTGGAGTAGTTATTATTACACAACAGGAATGTACTACCACAAAGTGACTAATGAAGTAGCATCAGTAACTGAGTTTAATTCTTGAAGAAAAATATTTAAACAATGTGTCAAAAATAGAAGTTAAGTAGTTAGCTGTGATGTGCTGCCAACACCACTAAAGGCAGTTGCAAGTTGGGGGAGATGATGGCCTAGTGGTATTATCACTGGACTGTTAATCCAGAAACCCAGGTAATGTTCAAATTCAGGTTTGAATCACGCCTTGGCAAATGGTGGGATTTGAATTCAATAAAATCTGGAATTAAGAGTCTAATAAGACTATGAATCAATTGCCAATTGTCAGGAAAAACCCATCTGGTTCATTAATGTCCTGTAGGGAAGAAAACGGCCATCCTTACCTTGTCTGGCTACATGTGACTCCAGACCCACAGCATTGGGCATTTAGGGGCAATAATGCTGACCTAGCCAGCGATGCCCTCATGCTGTGAATGTATATAAAACAAGTTTGGACCAATGGTTGGTTGCTGGAATGGAATCCCTGATTTCAAATTTTACAGCCCAACGCCATTGACTCTGTCAGAAAAAAATAAATTTACAATCTGTTACTAATTTCAAGAGCAGTTTGAGGAATACAAAGACATATTCAAATAATTGAATAAAAATACAGAAACTATTCATGAATATGCCTGAAAGTAAAGAAAGCGAAAAAGTGATATTGTTGCCTACCCCTGGAGCAGGTGGGACTTGAAACTGGGCCTTCTGGTTCAGGGGGGAACACTACCACAGCACCATATCAGCCCTCAAGGAAACAAGAAACAGAAGAAAATTTAAATGGAAACGTGATTAGATTGCAGTTAAAAAGAGTTATAACTTTATAATCACCATGACCACTTAATCTGACCTTTGGACCTATCTCAGCCTGCAGATCCCTAAAAATTAAAGAAAATTACTTCACAGAATAGTTTCCTTTTAAAGAAAAATGAAACAAAAAGTACAAAAAGATTTTAAAAACCTGATAAATTTTCATCTGCAAAGGCTCTGATTTCACACAGTTTTCACGTTAAAATAGCAATTTATGCTTCCAGAAAAGTATCCTGGGGCAGAACCACTATGGTGTTCTCTCAAACCCTTGCTATGACACTGAAGCCAGATTATTAGAATCTCTGCAGAAATGGTATAAATAGCCGTTTAGTTGGATGTCTGTCAATCTCACTGCAGGAGATGGGGTGAACTCCCAAAGAAATTCCAGGTTTTCTTTATCCAACTAGCTTACTCTTCCAAAATACGAATCAGTTCCCTTCCTGTGATCTTGGAATCTATAATTTGCCATCTTTCCTTAAGAAGAATGCATCCAACTCTTTGTCAGAACCATGGAATTCCATTCCAGCATCACCATTGGCAATTTGTTCCACAATTCTCTCACAAAACGGATTTTCTAAAAATCTATTTTCCTTTAACACATTTACTTTAAGCCCTATCTCTTGGTCCACAATTCTCAAGTCTAATTCGTGAATGTTTCCAGTTACTAATTCTACGCACCCATAAAAATTGCCATCAAGTTTCATCATTATCGTCTGTTTCACCTGAGGGAATAGCCCCCACCTGTTAATTTGAATGGATGGGATATTATGGAGCTGACTGGGTGGATTTCTGATGTATGCTGTCATGTGTATGAAGCTCAGCACAGAATGTGATGACGGTGAAAATGTATCCAATAAGGTAACAGCTAGTGAAAATTAAGAAAGTAGAAAATATTTTAAATAATTAAAAAAAACATAGTTAAGAATTGATTCCTTTAAGTTCTTTTGAAAACAACCCCATAAAATATTTCTGGTTATGATTAATTTTTTTTAGTATGTACTGCCTCATTGTACAGATACAAAAAGCTAACATTTCTGCTTGACTAAAAACAAGAAATGCTGGAAATGCGCAGCAGGTCTAACAGTGTTCATGAGAGAGAATCAAGAACAAATGTGTCAGGTCAGCAGGTCAAGGACCTTTCTTCAGAACTATTGCTGAATATTTTGAGCATTTTCTGTTTTCATTTTAAATTTCCAGCATTGGAAATATTTTTGCTTTTATTATAAGCTTTAGCTTGATTTTTCTTGTCTAGAACTGTAATATCATGAATAACTGAGAAGAGCTGAAAAATATTGTAACTGAATGTTGCAGCTGTGTAAAGCTTAAGTTAGGCCACAAATGGAATATTGTGTGCAGTTGTGGTTGCCTCAATATAGGAAGGATGTGGAAAATTTGGAGAGAGTGCAAAAGAGGTTTACCAGGAACTTCCCTGGATTGCAGTATATTAGCTATAAGGAGAGGTTGAACAAACTTTGATTGTTTTTGCTAGATCATCAGAGGCTGAGGGGTGACCTGATAGAAGTATATAAAGTAATGAGAGGCATGGGTTGGGTGAATAGCCAGAGCCTTTTTCTCAGAGTGAAAATGGCAGTGTCAAATACTAGGGACAGAAGTTTAATGTGAAAGGGGTAAACTTTAAAGGAGATATGCAAGGCAAGTTTTTTACTTGGAGGATGGTAAGGCTGAGGAGTGACCTTATAGAGTTGATAAAGTCATGAGCGGCATGGATAGAGTGAATAGCCAAGGGCTTTTCCCTGGGGTGTGGGAGTCCAGAACTAGAGGGCACAGGTTTAAGGTGAGAAGGGAAAGATTTATAAGGGACTAAGGGGTACTACTCCTAAGGGTTGTGCCAGAGGAAGTGGTGGAGGCTGGTACAATTACAACATGTAAAAGTCATTTGGATGGGTATATGAATAGGAAGGGTTTAGAGGGATATGGGCCAAATGCTGGCAAATGGAACTAGATTAATTTAGGATATGTGGTCGGCATGGATGAGTTGGACAGAAGGATTTGTTTCCACGCTGTACGTCTCTAGAGTCATAGAGACTGGAACGAGCTGCTGGGGAGGTGATAGACGCAGATACAACAGCAACGTTTAAGATGCATTTAGACAGGTGCATGATCAGGCAGGCAATAAAGGGTACAGACCATGTGCAGTCAGATGGGATTATTTTTGAATGGTGTCACGGTTGGCACAAACATGGTGGGCCGAAGGATCTGTTCCTGTGCAGCACTGTTCTGTGTTCTATGTTCTGTGAAAATTATGAACTGACATCCAATAACCATATTGTGGAGAAAAGAATTACAATTCATTTTTGTGACATTGCTTGGAAAGTGTATATGTATTATTTAAAGACTGGTTTCGTTCAAAATTTTGTTTATGCGATAATCAAATATTTTAATTTGAACAGATTATCGAACCTGCGGTGTACCTACGATACGTACTGATTTGGCAGCACCTCGCTTTCGTCGTGTCAGTGATACAATTAACTATGGTGATGAAGCAAATGCTTCTGCCTTGCTAAATCCTTCAGTGTTTGCCCAGAGAGAAGTTTACGAGAAGGATATGTTCATGGATAGGTCCAAGGAAGAGGTAAGTCATTGATTTTAACTCTTTTTACCTGGTCCAAATGAAGGAAGTTTTGAATAATTTTCAACATTGATCAGAAATTGAAGATATGACTTTATTTAGATAAAACTCTGGATGCTGCAGATCTAAAACAAACAAAAACAGAAAGTAATGGAGAAACCCAGCCGGTCTGGCAGCATCTGTTGTAGAATACTGAGTTAATATTTTGAGTCCTGTTGACTCTTCTTCAGTACAATATTCATATGTTATCCTATGTAATAGCAAGTATATTTAAAGTGAGCTGAGATAAAATCTGAATAGGATGTCTGCAAGTGAATAAATATCTTAGACCATTAGAGTGAAGCTTCACTACGTGGAATGCATGTTAGGAATTTGGTACAGCATTTCAAGATAATGCTCTGGCCGCTACATTTAATAAGGCCGTAAAACAATTGGGATGTGCCATTAACCTAGTTCATTCCTTTTGATGCAGCCAGCATGCAAACTTTGCACTTTTTACTCATTTAGACAATAATAGTGTACACCTGCACTATTTGTTCTGTTGGGTAACTATATGCCAGGAGCAGGAAGCATCATTTAAAGCCAAACTGCACCTCTTAAAGGGGATGCTCATTTGGACTGGAGCATGTGTTGGAAATGGTTACTGAGAATTTAAGCAAGAGGAATGCTGAATTATGACACAACATGACAGAATACAGCTTCAAGACTTTTCCTTGGAAGCCTGGGCAGAGGAGGTGCTGCGTGAGAATGAGGTTATATATGTACTTTGGATCAGGAGGTCCTCTAGACAAACAAGGTCACTGGCCTCCAGTCTGAAAAACAACCCTCCATCACCAGTCTTGTAAGAGTTGATCGTGAACAGCCAGGTCAGGCTGTTGTTTGATTTGTCCTTTCTGTCTTCTTGTAATCTTTTCTTCCTCGTTCTGTCCTTTTGGTCCCCCAGTTCCTCAGCTGATAGCGAAGTAGCTATTGGCAAGAACTGTGTCCTTATGATGGTGAGGTTATGTATGCCATGTAGTGTACCACGATGAATCTTGATATGTGTTCTGCAGATTACTCCAGCACTCCTCACTGTTGTCCAGGCAGAAGAAGCATTGCTTAGGCACATCAGTTATCTCCTTTTCCCACATTGTGCAGCAGCATGCCTTCAGTTATGTGCATCTTTGTGGATTATGTACTGGTGTCATGAACCATATGGTCATTGGATAGTCCTTGTCACCCATTAGCTGCCTTTTGGTGTGTCATACTGGCTCAGATAGAGAAGGTATTGTGAACTTCTGTAGAATGAAGGCTATGGCAAATCATATGTTACTCTTAATTTCAAAAGAAATCAACATAAGGACATAAGGAAATCTCATTTCCAATACTATGTTTAGTGATATCACATTTTCAATTACAGTGTCTGCTGTGGTGTCTGTTTTTTTTTGGCCTTGCACATGAGTATAGCAACAGTTCATCAGATTGATTCCTGGGATGAGAGGACTGACCTATAAGGAGAGATTGAGTGGGATGGGCTGACATTCTCTGGTTAACCATTAAAATGGTTAGAAGACTGGGGTTGTTTGCCTTGCTCACTGAGATTGGAACAGAAGGTGTTGCTCTCCGAATAGTGGTCTGATCAGTCCCAGTCATTCTCCATTACAATGTCAGTAAAAACTAATTTGCAGATATTGCTGATGATATGGACTTTTCCCATTTACTGAAGTTTTATTGGCGAGAAAACTTCCTGTGATCCAACCATGGGGAGTCTTCCAAGAGCTCAGCTGAATTAAACATAGGAAGCCAGCTGGTCCAGATGGAGTTCCAGCCAAGCTAATCCAAGCCTTAGCCTACATTACACAATATTTTTAAAACTTAATTTGCTGAGGGTGTAGTTCCACGTAAATGGAAGTAAATAATCGTTTTCCCATGATCAATGTTCAATTCAGAAGGCAGCATTTTCACCTTAATATAGTGTGTGGCTATTAACTCTCCCTCTCTGTTTCCTATGATAGGGGAATTCAGAATAAAAAGCACAAACTTTAAATTAACGTTGAAATCAGGAAACAATTCTTATCAACAAAAATAATAAACAAGTTGGGAGCAGAAATTGCCCATTTGGCCCCTCGAACCTATTCCACTATACAGTCAGTTTATGGATGATCTGTTTGCATTTTGAATTCCATATTCCCATCTTCCCCTAATAATATTTATTCCCTGTATAATAAGAATCTATCTATCACTGCCATAAAAATATTTGTTGACTCCACCTCCACTGCTTTCTGAGGAAGAGAGTTCCAAAGTCAGACAACCCTCAGAGAGAAATATTTCTTTTCCATCGTATAAGGGTGACACTTAATTTTTAAATAGTTCTAGAACATTCCTAAAAAGAAACATCCTTACCACATCCATCTTATCAAAATCATTAAGGGTTTTATGTACTTCAGTAAGGGGAGGCGATGGCCTAGTGGTATTATCGCTAGACTGTTAATCCAGAGACCCAGGAAATGTTTGAAATGAATAAAAATCTGGAATTAAGAGTCTAATGATGACTAAAACCCATCTGGTTCACCAATGCCATTTCTACCTGGTTTGGTCCACTTGTGACTCCAAACCCACAGCAATATGGTTGACTCTTAACTGCCCTCTGGGGGTTAGGGATGGGCAATACATGCTAGTCTAGCCAGCAATGCCCACATGCCATGAATGAATGAAGAAAATCAAGTCACACCTCATTCTTTGAACTCCAGTGGAAGCAAGCTTAGATTGTTGTCCAACCTTTCCTCATAAGATAATGCACTCATCCTAGGTATTAATCTAGTAAACCTCCACTGAATAGCTGCCAATTTGTTGGAGACCCAAACTGCACACAGTAATAGAGACATGGTCTCACCAGTGCCCCATATGACTAAAGTATAATGTGTAACCCCCACACCATGAACTCCTGCTTTCTGCAGTAAGCTTTTCAATGGCAGGACTTCAAGGACAGTATCTTCAGACTCCTATGCACGAGGTCTGATACTCCTTCAATGAACTTGATTTCCTTTTAATAAAACCAGGCTGAATCTTCCTGGTTACTTCTGATTGAGTTCTGATACTCTGATGGAGTTTTTCTACGTGCTCTCCTGTAATTCCAACACCTTCTGTATGACAACATCAAGCTAACTGGCCTGTCATTTCCATGGTTTCTCTCTCTGTCTTGATTTACAGCTATTACCAGAATTTTTTGTATCCTCTATAATGAACACAGAAGCAAAATATTTGTTCATTTCATTTGCCATCTCCTCATTTTCTACTATAAATTTTCATTAAAATGTGTAGCAGGCCGACACTCATTGTACATATTCTTTTCCTCTTTTAAACATCTTTGGAAAGTCTTGCAATCCATATGACTGTCTCCAGGTATAAAATATCCATGTAGCTTGCCCCGTACCTGATGTGTTGCAATTTCTGCATCCTATCCTCATAAACTCTGAGCTAAAGTTCCTCTTGCTGCAAATTCTTACAACGGACATGTTTGTCCTGGATTATTTTTTTCCTTTTTTATGTATTTTGTTAATCTTATCAGTAGTGACTGTTCTATTTTAAACCTTCAAAATAGAATATACCTTAAGTATTTACCAGATAAGCAGCAAAAGCTTATTTTCCCAAAATTACTTTATTCATAATGTTTGTTTAAAAAAATTACAAAATATTTCAACTTGAATCTTACAGTATTTGCAATAATATCCAAAATGTCTTTGCCAGGTAAACAGCCTAAGGATGAAAACAATTCACATTGGAAATTACAATAAGTGTAAAAAATGTAACAGTTTCCTCTAAATGCTATGTCACACTCTGATGTGCCTCAAAAAGTAATTTCTCACTCTCCTAGCTGACGGTCCTAGGTCCTCCTTTCACTGTACAAACAAAAGCTGGTGAGAATCAGAAAAACTCTTGAAAAATCAATGTAGGGTCATTTGACATTTTTAAAATTGAGCTTGGCATTATTTTTCAATAACATTTGAAGTTTTTTTTGGTATAAAGGTGTGTAGATCTAAGGCAGGTAAATAGATCTGCAATTCAGATCAACCATAACCTGATGAACGTGGTACAAACTTTACAGCTGAATATCTCATAGACATTTACAGCACACAAGGAGACCATTTGGCCCATCATGTCCACGCCAGACAACAAATTCTGACTACACTAGTCCCATTTTCCAGCTCTTGGCCCATAGCCCTGGAGGTTATGGCAAATATAAATGAATAGCTAGGCATAGTTTAAATGTTACAGGAGCTTGACTCAACCTTGCATTTCAGCAGTCTTACTTCTGTTCTCGTGTTTAACTTATGGGAATTGATGCAAAATCTTTATAAATAGTCTCTTAGAAAACAGTGCATCTGTCAAATTTAATAAGTTGCTGCTCCATTTTGCCAACTGTATATTATACTAAAGATTGTAGAACTGGATGAACAAGCTTGTAGAAACTTATAGTGATGTTTTATGTCAAATATCTGCTCTTGTATTGCTATAATTGAGCTTCAGTCAAGAAAAGTTAAAACAGCTACTAGAATTTTTTATGCTGAGAGCAACTTCAGTGGATCTGCTGTTCATTTAGATTTTCGCCAAGCACATTCTATTTCACCCAAGGCAATATTTTAACCATTAGCTGTTGTAAGCTACTGATTTCTTCAATTGTTTGATTTCACAATTAAGGTCTCTAAATTATAGAGTGTCTTTCTATTTTGTTAAGTGAATGTCTTATCTAGTGCAAATACCAATTAGATTTTCTTCTTAATACATCATTACAGATTTTTCAATTTTTAATTATCGACAAAATGTCAGCTCTTTTTACAGAAAGTCAGTCTAAAAAATGGGTTTGAAATTGCATTGACTTTCCTATTTCCATTTATATTTCTTCAGATTAAGAGACTATTTTGTAAGGTTGGAGTGAACATGTCAAATGAAACGTTTGAAGAGGTTTGGAAGCGTGCTGCCATGAAACATCCAAAAGGAGAAGTTAGTGTGGAGACTTTCCGGAATGTTCTGGATGAGATTCAGATAGCAAAAACTCTAACTTGTTGACCAATTATAATTTTTTTTCACAGAATTTCAAACTTTTTAAAATTAAATTCTTGGTATTTTGGAATTGTGCACACAAGTCCGTAAATCAGAAGAGCTGGTTTAAAGTTGTCATTATACCTTTAAACCTGTGAGTGAAGTGTAATTTTTATCATCAGCTTTTTTTTGGTCATCATATTTGTCGGACAAAAATAAAATACCGATCATTCGAATAAATATATAACATCTTAGTATTTGAAACGTGACTTTCAGTGTACTATTTTTACTGTAGTTAGGCAATGTGAATGTGACAAATTTTATGCAGCTGGTTTAAGGATCATGCAAAAAATTAATGCTTTATATTCAATTTTGTTTCAAGTGTGAAAAATGATTATGGGAATTGTTTTAATATTTGAATAACATGTCTTTGTATCTAATGTCTGAGCTTTTATTAAAACAGATTGCATTTTGCAAAGTTTTTCAAAATCCAAAACATTTCAGCTGAGAATTCACTGCATGGCATTTCAATTCAAGCTCATTCATTCATCAAATAAATTTAAGAATGTGCTGTTTCTTCATAACAATAAACACACAAAAGCATTTTTTGCATGTGTTGTAATGATCATCACCTTCGACTGTTGGAAGATCTGTGAGCATCCCATAGAAATGGAGTAAGTGGTGGCTGATTGGGAAATGCTGATGGAAGTTCAACACTATTGTACTGAATATTAAATTGTCTGACAATATGTTTTTAGTAAGAACTAAGGACATTTTACAGAATCTCTAATCTGGCAAAAATAATGCAATAGCTGTTAAGCAATTAGTCTTTTAAACAGCATGCACTCTCTCGGCTGGGACAATTTTTCAAAGAATGAAGAATCATGATCTGGTTTACCTTCACAGTCATAGGCAGTGCAGTCCTTGAACTGTTCTGAGCTTGGAATTGTGACTTGTATAATTGGTAGATTTCAATGAAGATCTTCGTAATGAAGACTAAATGTCTTCTCACTGTGTCCCAAGTACGTGAATTGCTCCCAATACATCCTGGCTGGATATGACCTCCTGTTGAAGCGCTTCTCCCCCTGCTCCTCCACCCACTCAGAGTGCTTATCTTGTCCCTCGTGACCTCTGCTCATTTTCCCAGTCATGCTGTATTCATAGGAAAGCCTAATAATTCAGCCATAGCTAGGAGTGCCAGCTTTTGTATATTTCTACATCCTGCAAATACACTCCTGACATTATCACTGCATCTCAATCCCCACCAGCAAATCAAAATTTGCATCCCACCAACCAAGTCGTATCACACAGCACAATAATAGATCTTTTGGGCTCCAAAAAATGTCCCATTTCCCCCCAGCCCCCCATTGATTGTGGAAGAGAATGTCTCTTGCCATTGCTGTTAGACACACATTTTGCATAACTACTGCATTTCTTGCAGACTCCTTCCAAAATGGAGAAATTATTTAACATAGATGAATGGTCTTGAACAGAACCACTAGATTGAATCTTATGATTTTCTTTTGACTGTATATAGTGTCCTTGTAGCAGCCTTTCAATGCTGATTGCCATCAAATCCTGCAATGCAAGTCCATGTTTCCTAAGTGTACTGCAAGTGTATCAGAGTATTACCGTGATGGCCATAAGGGATTAGCAAATGTTCGATGGCAAAGTCCGTGGACGACGGGGGCATGGGGCTGGTGGCTATGGATGGTGCCCTGCGATGCTATTGGGTACTGAGCTACTAGGAGCCTGATCACAGCCAGCAGAAAGCTAACATCGCCAGGTATCCACACTGACTTCCATGTCGAGAATACATGACATCTGGTTTGTTTGATGTGTTTGGTAAGATAGGAAGCTGAATAAGGTGAGTTTTGGCATTAGTAGAGTTTGACAAGCAATATCCCCCTTAAATAGCAACTTGCTGCTATCCAGTGAGTAACTCACTTTGCTGGTTGGCAAATGCAGAAAATTTGCAGTGAATTTCTCTCAGTGAGGTGGGCCTTGCTGAACGTCTTGCCAGATTCTGCTACAAATCATACCATAGCCAGTCATCGCTCTGTCTAATATATTGTACTCCCTGGACTATTCTGTAGAGTACATTTGTCTGACCCATCTGTTTTAAACTAGAGCTGAGGCATGAAATATTCCTTCCTATTACCAGGAAATAAATCATAAAGATACAAATTTTCCTCAAAATTAGAATGGATCTGGGTTTTGTGGTAAGATTAATGTTACCTGCAAAGAAATCTAACCATCATGACATTGAGCAGTTTTTCCTCCGCCTCCACGTTTACTTCTTCAACCGTGAGCCTAACCCTCCCTCTACTGACCCCTTCTCCCGCCTCCAACACACCCCCTCCTCCTGCACACCACCCAAGGGCCTCCTACCCTCCCTCGATCTCTTCATCTCCAACTGCCGTCGAGACATCAATCGCCTCAACCTCTCCACCCTTTTCACCCACTCCAACCTCTCCCCCGCAGAATGTACAGCCCTCCGCTCCAATCCCAACCTCACCATAAAACCCGCGGACAAGGGAGGCGCAGTTGTAGTATGGCGCACTGACCTCTACATCACCGAGGCCAGGCGCCAACTCTCCGACACCTCCTCCTACCGCCCCCTTGATCATGACCCCACCCCCGAGCACGAAACCATCATCTCCCAAACCATCCACAACCTCATCACCTCAGGTGACCTCCCAACCACGGCCTCCAACCTCATCATTCCCCAACCCCGCACCGCCCGCTTCTATCTCCTTCCCAAAATCCACAAACCTGACTGCCCTGGTCGACCCATTGTTTCCGCCTGCTCCTGCCCTACCGAACTTATCTCCAACTATCTGGACTCCATTTTCTCCCCCTTGGTCCAGGAACTCCCTACCTACGTCCGTGACACCACCCACGCCCTCCACCTCCTCCAGAACTTCCAATTCCCCGGTCCCCAACACCTCAGCTTTACCATGGACGTCCAGTCCCTATACACCTGCATTCCCCATGCAGATGGCCTAAAGGCCCTCCGCTTCTTTCTGTCCTGCAGGCCCAACCAGTTCCACTCCACTGACACCCTCATCCGCTTAGCCGAACTCGTCCTTACCCTCAACAACTTCTCTTTCAATTCCTCCCACTTCCTACAGACAAAGGGGGTGGCCATGGGTACCCGCATGGGCCCACGCTATGCCTGCCTCTTTGTAGGTTACATGGAACAATCCCTCTTCCGTACCTACACTGGCCCAAAACCCCACCTCTTCCTCCGTTACATTGATGACCGTATCGGCGCCGCCACGTGCTCCCACAAGGAGCTCAAACAGTTCATCCACTTCACCAACACCTTCCACCCCAACCTTAAGTTCACCTGGACCATCTCTAACACCTCTCTCACCTTCCTGGACCTGTCTGTCTCCATCTCGGGCAACCACCTAGAAACCGATATCCATTTCAAGCCCACCGACTCCCACAGCTACCTAGAATACACTTCCTCCCTCCCACCTTCCTGCAAAAATGCTATCCCCTATTCTCAATTCCTTCGCCTCCGCCGCATCTGCTCCCAGGATGAGGCATTCCACTCCCATACATCTCAGATGTCCTCGTTTTTCAAGGACCGCAACATCTCACCCTCAGTGGTCGAGAACGCCCTCGACCGTGTCTCCCGCATTTCCCGCAACTCATCCCTCACACCCCGTCCGCGCAATAACAACCAAAAAAGAATCCCCCTTGTCCTCACGTACCACCCCACCAACCTCCGGATCCAACGCATCATCCTCCGACACTTCCGCCATCTGCAATCCGACCCCACCACCAAAGACATTTTTCCCTCCCCACCCTTATCTGCTTTCCGGAGGGACCATTCTCTCCGAGACTCCCTTGTCTGCTCCACACTCCCCTCCAGCCCCACCACACCCGGCACTTTTCCCTGCAACCGCAGGAAGTGCTACACCTGCCCCCATACCTCCTCCCTCACCCCCATCCCAGGCCCCAAGAAGACTTTCCACATCAAGCAGATGTTCACCTGCACATCTGCCAATGTGGTATACTGCACCCGCTGTTCCCGTTGTGGCCTCCTCTACATCGGTGAAACCAAGCGGAGGCTTGGGGACTGCTTTGCAGAACACCTACGCTCGGTTCGCACTAAACAACTGCACCTCCCAGTCGCGAACCATTTCAACTCCCCCTCCCATTCCTCAGACAACATGTCCATCCTGGGCCTCCTGCAGTGCCACAACGATGCCACCCGAAGGTTGCAGGAACAGCAACTCATATTCCGCTTGGGAACCCTGTAACCCAATGGTATCAATGTGAGACAACAAGGTGCAGGGCTGGATGAACACAGCAGGCCAAGCAGCATCATAGGAGCAGAGAGGCTGACGTTTCGGGCCTAGACCCTTCATCAGAAAAGGGGGAGGGGAAGGGGGTTTTGAAATAAATAGGGAGAGAGTGGGAGGCGGATAGAAGAGGGATAGAGGAGAGGATAGGTGGAGAGGAAACAAACAGGTCGAAGAGGCGGGGATGGGGCCAGGAAAGGTGAGTGTAGGTAGGGAGTTAGGAAGGGGATAGGTCAGTCCAGGGAGGACGGACAGGTCAAGGGGGCGGGATGAGGTTGGTCGGTTGGAGATGGAGGTATCAATGTGGATTTCACAAGCTTCAAAATCTCCCCTCCCCCTACCGCATCCCAAAACCAGCCCAGCAGGTCCCCGCCTCCCTAACGTGTTCTTCCTCCCACCTATCCCCTCCTCCCACCTCAAGCCACACCCCCATTTCCTACCTACTAGCCTCATCCCGCCCCCTTCACCTGTCCGTCCTCCCTGGACTGACCAATCTCCTCCCTACCTCCCCACCAACACTCACCTTTACTGGCTCCATCCCCACCTCTTTGACCTGTCTGTTTCCTCTCCACCTATCTTCTCCTCTATCCATCTTCTATCCGCCTCCCACTCTCTCCCTATTTATTTCAGAACCCCCTTCCCCTCCCCCATTTCTGAAAGGGTCTAGGCCCGAAATGTCTAAAAGCCTTCCTGCTCCTCTGATGCTGCTTGGCCTGCTGTGTTCATCCAGCTCTACACCTTGTTATCTCATCATGACTAGCTCCTAGATTAAACAACATTTTTGAAAAATTGTGTGTCATGAAGCAGAAATAGTGCTTCCTTAGAACTGAGCTTCCTAAAATGACAATGAGTTCACTCATTGGGAGATAGGTCTGTTAATCAGGAAAATTGCAGTTGTCCCCAGCTGGAGGTTGGGAGGAGGAAGGAACATTTAATTAAGCCTTGACATTTGGGTATATTGCAAGGACCAGAACCACATACTTTTTTTGTGTATAGTTAAAGAAGTAACTCTGATAACTGAATCACTGCTATAAAATTCAAACTGCTTTTGAGAAAAAATTGAAACCATGCTGTTTAAATAGTTTCTAGATTGAACAATT